CTCCTCGGTCCCGACACGTCTGCTGCGCTCAAATATTATTTCCCTCCCACATGAACAAATAAAGAATATTTTTTATTAATCTTAATGTTCCTCCTATCTCTACGATGTTTATAATTGCCGTTTTATATGCTCGTTCCTAATACTATGAGCAGCACTTTAATTAGGAGCGATTGACAAATACATCGATTTATAATGGACTCATGGCAAGGCTTTTACATGCCTGTTAATGTTGTCAATGCGTTTTTTTGTTATCTTAACCTCTATCCTCATCATAAGAGTATGGAAAGAGAGAGTATTTAGCATCTATGTCTCGTCACCTTTGCCTTAACTATAAACGAAACCCATTCATTAATTATTTTATAATTAACCTTAACCTATACAACTGTATATGATGTTTACCTTTAGCAACGTCAGATCAGACTTTCATATCGCAAAGAGCATCGTAAATAGCATTAAACGTTGTTTACTAAAAATTCACATACATATGTAGCTGAAGCCAAACTATAATGATCTAACTGATGTTTAGCCTCCATCATGCTAATGTTGAAATTAAGATAATGTCGCCTCGGAGCCGGTTTGCAAGCATTGCTTATTTATTACCACGTTTTGTGTAGTTTACACAAAGTGTGACCTAAGATTCTACGAATGGCAAAGCAGACGAATAAAATAAATAAAATTAAACGATCCTTATCGAAAAACCAGATTGCAACATAAAGCTCGTTTTAAGTCTTGTTTATTATCAGTTCCTAATTCCCGAAACAATTCATTCCTTTACTTGGAACGAGACGAGAGGTAATTGCGTTGTTTTGGTGCGTTTTTATATTTTTAGTTTTGTTTAGAAAAATACTTAAGAAGTTGACAATACATTAACGTCTCTCAGCCATTGAACCTTGCCGTCTTGACCTCAGTGCCGTAACTTCCTCGTGTTTCTAGTCACCGACCTATACCTGTTTAATTTGTAGTTAATAACAACAAATTAAACAGGAGTGTCATCAGAATATGAAGGAGACCATGGCGGACGGCACAATTAAAATATATTATCATTGTTTATTTATTTTATTGCTTTTCGGTTCCAACGAGGACTGTGCTAGCAAACTCTAAAAACTTTAGCAAATGTACGTTTATGTAAATCACCAAGTGATATAGCAATTGTAATAATTACATAAACAATTCGTCGAATAACTCAAATCAATTGTGTGTATTGGTGTTTACTAAGAGCGAGATTAGTACAGATTAAATATTCATGTTGCACAATTGCACGCAGAAGATGGGACGCTGGCTGCAATTCAACTGTTTGTAACCTGTGCTTTCTTTCTACGTGTTTGTTTGTCATTGTTGTGTCTACGATTATCATAATTATCATCTGTAGAATATCGAACGCAAAACTATTGCTGTCAAAAGTTTTTACTGTTTAATTGACAGAGACACAGAATGTACCTATACCAAAATATTAAAATATTGATTTATGAAGCAGTTTTGTTCAAATTGTAGTACTTGGCATGAATTAGGTGTTTTTTTGGATAATAAACAATTCGGTCATAATTTTTACCTCAGTTACCATTTCTTACTATTTCTGTTAATTCCTGACTTAAGCCTCCTTAAATAAAACGTTAACATGACTCATATTACATTTGTCATCGCAGTGTTATCAGAAAAATGTCATCGAAATAGTCACAAACAAGAAAAACGTTAAAAGCTTCTGGTCCTTCAATAATCTTTGTTTTATGTTGTGCACTAAAGCTAAGTTTTAAGCAGGATTAACAGATACTTTTAAATATTTTACGATGGCACGCCGACCCCGAATTATACGACCTTTTACTCATAAATACTGTAAAATTTTGGATGAGCTGGTCAAACGATTATGGCACGAGCTATATTTCATTGTACATTTGTTCAAAGATTGATATCAAAAAATAAAAGAACGACAACTCGGCTATTTAGCAGGAAATATTCGTTTTGCCGCCGCGCAGTCTCCACGAACAAAAACATAATTGTGTACAATACTATTTAATAAACGTTTTCCTTTCGTGGATGGATGTAAAAATGGTAATTTATGTCTTTATACAGATTGTAGTTGCTTGCTCTTAAAATTAAATCTTAAATCTTTAAATTGTTACGGCATTGATCTTGCGAGCCCTCTGGTAGGGTGTCCTTGTCTTTTCAATTTCTATTTATTGTGACATCGTAAAGGAGGCCGATCAGTGAACCAAGAAGATAACGCGATCTAGGAGAACTAGCTATCTTTATTTGCATCATATTTTATGGAGGCTGTTAAAATGTTTTACAATGTTAAAAATACTTTACAATTTAACCAATATGCGATTCGTAAGTTCTTAGTAACATAGAGTATTGATACTGTTTCAGTAAATGTTAATGAAAAAAATAGTAATGGTTTCACGGTGGTCCTGAAAATGATCAGGGCGGTGAGTCACTTGAATTGCACACAGCGAAAATTTATAATCGGCAGTCCGACCACATTCCGAGAGCAGGCGCAGGTCAGAGCATTTATATTCACATTCTAATCATATCGATATGAATACCGGCATTAGGACATTGTATTATTTTCACTTTATACAATTTAGTTTTATCTGTTCACAAAATAACTTCGACCATACCTATTAACGAGGCAGGTACGGTAAGGTAAAAACTCGACAACAATAATTAGAACGAAGAATTGAATATTCTCACCCCAACCCTAAAGAACGTATTATGAGTGAGGTTGCTACATTTTAATTTAGATACGGAAGCCGCATGACTATGCAAGAAAACCCGATTAATTTCATTGTGCAGTGTCGGGCAATCCTTCAAAGTGAGTTGCTTGTTTGTCAACATGGCAGGCAGGCATCTCACCAGGAAACAACCGCACAATAGAACAGGGGAAAGATGTAAAGGCCAACGACATTCAAAACAAACTCAAATGTCTATTTAGGTTATTCAAATATTGCCTTGTTTAATAACTTATTTTTGCTACCAAAAATAATTTAGTTCTTTTTAAACGAAATTTTGCATCATGAAATGTTATTGCACACGAACACTAGGAAAGAAACCTGGATATATTTCCTAGACGGTTTGGCTCCGCTCCAGTCCTATTGCACTTTGACAAGCGGCCTATAACTTGTACTAGATTGTCCGTCTATTCCTATTAGATATTAATAAACGTTTATAGTGTGCTCGCGCGGCTTTACAACGCCCAATGTTTGTAAGGCGGGAACGATGCAAGATTTTTGTAAAATAAAATGATTTTTTTTTCACATCACTGTTATTAGCAGATGTCATTATATATATTATGTCTTACCATATTTTAAAATATAAAGTTCTCGTAAGCCGCATCCAGTGTCACAAGTTTTCCGAAGGACAGGGTCAACGCACTCCAAATTTCGGCATTCCTTTCCCTTTTCATCGCCGATAACTATGAGTCGCAAAAATTACGGTACAAGGTACTTTGAATTTTATAAATAATATCTTGACACATTTTGTCTACACCAAGCCAACTCTTATACGTTCTAAGATAAGTTTTTCCTTTTAAATTGAATCCAAACCAAAAACAAAACAAAATTTAAATAAATTAAAAAAAATAAGTTATCATCAAGCACAGGACCGGCTGGAGGTCCTTGCTCGACTAGGCAAAGGCCCGATGGGCAGTAGCGCATCCCTCTCATCAGCTGTAATTTATTATTTGCCATTATTATATACAATTGTCTAACAGCCGTATTCTATACTCGATCTAAAAGAGGTCTAAAAGTCCTGCCCCACGTGAACATGTAATGCGAGCTTTTATAAGATACAACCTTGATATATTGTTATATATAGCGCTTTTAAATTGCGTTTATCTATATAATATGTAAACGTAGATTAACATGCTAATGTATAAAACGATAATTATTATGCGTTTATGAATAGGGCATAAGTTCGATTGCTGCGCAACGAATCATGTTTCAATCAAAATACGTGACCACTCACTACTACGACAGCCTTATCGTATTAAAAAAATTAATTTATTTCTTCAATGTAAGAACTTGTGTACTCGTTCGACTAGCAACAAGTTCAGCATAACAAGCGATGGACATAAATAGATATTCATACAAAACGATTTAATCAGGGGCCGTGACTGACGTATAATAGAAGACGGATTATGAAACCACACGAGACCAGGTTGATCTGACGAAAGGTTGACCCCGAACTTGTGTGGGCGAGCGGCGACAATTTGAGGAATAATATTAGTAGAATTATATATATTGCCGTATTCCGTGTCTAGATTGAGTGGGTACGGTACGTTGGAAGCAGATTGACTGGCGGGCTTCGGGTCTTCGAACTGTCGGGGAATGCAAACAAATAGACATACATAGTAATGACAAAAGAGCACACCTGCTTAAAGTACAAACAATGCAAATCTAGATGCGTCGGGAATAATACGTGCCGTGTTAGTCACCAGTACAGCGATTTCTTCCGGAACAGAAGATTACTCACCATTTCTTTGACATGAAATTTAAACAATGGAAATTAAAATTTAAATTCTTTCATGTGAAGAGTCAAAATTTCAAGAAGAAAGGGAAGGTGAAAAGCAATATGTTCCCTTTACGTCTAGCGAAACGGTGAAAACTTTACGCAACATTTATTGTTAATTTAGGCAGTTTGTATATTAAAAGTTAGCATTGAACAAACGATTACGATAAACTCCTCATATAAACAGGAATCGTTCAAGATACAATGCAGAGTCTGGAACGAATGGTTGCAGTATGAATGGCCAATCTTAACCAACGGCAAAATAAACAAAAATCAATTACCGGCAACTCTTTAAGATGAAATTAATCCACTACCATTTTCATGTTGTATCTGGGCATACATTTTACTGAGTAAATTTATAGCTCGATTTATCAACATTGATGCAGTTAACTTCGTATCACCAGTGGCTTATTCAATTTAAACGATATTCAGTTTTTTCCTTATAGTTTACCGTGTACGCCAAATTTCAACAAATGAAACAAATTTCAGGCAGGGCGATGTTAAATGTGGCTGTGGCGGCGCTCGCCTGCGTCTGCCTGGCGCGCTGTTCGTCGGCCGAGCCACACACCCTAGCTTTACACATTCCTAAGGTGATTTCAGTTTACTGATTTGTGGTAATTCGTTGCCGATATGAAAATGATGATATATTGTACATTTTCAGGATCTAACAAACATATTAGCAAATATTGACGAGCGATTAAGGATGTTGGACACCATCAGTGCGCTGCAGGTGAAACAAGCGAGACGACTCGACGTCATACAAGACAAACTGGGTGAGAACAAACAGGCAATTTCACATGAATTGCATGTAACATCACAAGCCTTCATTTAGTGCTATTGACGTGAATAAAGCTAGTGTTAGGTAAAATATTTCAAAATGCAATGACTCACTGTGTGATCTTATTGTGTCATATCCTATTTTAGTGCCTATCCGTGGGTAACTTTCGCAATTGAACAAACGGGGCCATCAGTTAACCAAGTGCACCCTCTTGCACGTACGCTCCATTAACTATATTCCAACAATTCCAGATCGCGTGGAAACAACTCTATCATTAAGGCTTGAGAGAGCGCAGTTGGCGGCGGAAAGATTAGAGCATAGACTCCACATGCTACAAACAAGTGTACAGGTAGGATTCTAAGAAATCAATTACCATTGAAGTCACGACACGCCAACATAATTGTTTCAATAATAAATAACTATTAATTCCAGGCTTCCATCAAAGAGAGCACCGACAAAATAGAGCGAAGTCAAACCAAATTTGTAGAAATTGCTCAAAATCTCACCAATCAAATCGACTCCCACTCGCATCTCCTAGAAAAGGTAAGAGTTTAGAAGATTGAAAGCTATTCAAACGTTAATAAGAGACGAACCCGCAGTGCTTCAATCTATTTACCAATATATTATATTTAAAGGTGAGCGGTGCATACGCCGACACCTGGCGTCGCAGCATTCTACTGGAATCTCTAATGAGAGATGGCATGGCCCTCGTGAATGTGACTAGAAGAGAACTTGCTGATGGTGTACGGGCCCTAGCCAGAAGACAAAGAGATGCACGTCTCAACTCTGCCGACTTAGAGGCAGCTTTTTCTAGGCGACTGAATGACAACACTTACAAAATTGACTTAAAGGTAAGCAAAATGCTCTGATATTAAGATTTACGATATTATAGAGATTAAATAATCTATATTACTATAATTAAACAACGACAAAAATAATTAGCCCACAATACGAAAATATTAGTATTAATATGAAGCACAGAAAATATACCAAAACCTTCAAGCGGTTTTATTCATAATTGTTATTTTAACGTTTTACTAATCGGTGATTTAACAACAACAGGCAGTACATTGAAACCACAGCTTAATATGTGAAGGCCATTATTCAAAGACAAGAAATATTGCTAAACGATAAGTTATAGAAGAATAATAATACCCGCATTCATATTATCTATATATGCTTTTTTTGATCCAAGCGAATTTATGATTCCTGAATTTTTATCATATTTAACATTTAAATAACTACTAGCATTTTTTATCGCCCGTCTTGACTCGTGTGGCTACTTTTAGTCTGGTATGTCTTTAGCTCAATAAATGTTCAGGCCGAATCTATTTCGATCCTGCCTAGTCCCTCGCCGATTAAAGGACTGTTTTCATTCGTGGCTGCTTTAAGACAGATAAAACCGTAATCCTATTTTACTTTTTAGATGCAGGAAGTGCTAAACGAGCAGAGACGATTTGTGGACTCCTGTCAACGGGTGCAACTGGACGATCCCACTCATGTGGCAGATGTTTTAGACAAACTTATAGATTCTTTAATAAATAAGTATGTCTTTATAAATATTCTTATCACATGTTTATGTGTGTGTAAAATTTGTGTCTGTGTTACTTATTTGTACTGCGATTGTTTCAGAACTGCATCAACATTCCACGAATTGCAAAATATACAGAATAGTGTCCGTAACCACGACAATAAAGTGATGAAGCTTCTTAGCAATCGTCCTTCACAGGTATTTTTAAGCTATCGACGTCGTATAGCGAAATTATAACTGTACCTATAGGCATATTTATTGCAATTATATTGATATGATTTCAGACGGATTCGACTTGCAAGAGACTAGAAACCGTGTTCCGAAATTCATCACACGCAGCGTTCAATGAAAAGGAGCTCCTACAGCTCACAGAAAAATTCATTGGCTTGACGAACCGTGCCGACGCTGCACTTCAGCGCCTAGAGAAACTGCTCGCTGATGACCCGGGTGGGTCTTCATCCGCTAGTGACGTTACGGCAGCTGCCGACAGATTACTACAAAAACTTAAGGGGATTAAGTAGGTTTGATTCTTAAATTTTTGCCAATACAATATGCAGAAGTAATGCATAGTACGTACCATAGTAATATACCCGACACTAACTTCATAGTTGAGCTTAGCACTATAATTGTTGTAATATATTGTAGGAGTGAAACAGATTCGGAAGAAAATGAGGAGTATGGTGAAGATGAACAGGACATGACCTATTTCGAAGCAGGCGGTGATAACTTCATGGAAGAAGATCAGGAAATGCTCAGCAGTGTAGATGGGAAGTCTAAACCGAAGACTACTACAGAAAGTGTTTCCTACCAATTACCACATCGAAGGCATCTTCATAAACATCCTTATGACCGTGGCCCTACTTGGAGAAATTCTGACGATTAATTCTAAGCATGTGATATAAAGTACTCTTTAATAAACACACAAATATTTTATTAAAATGTATATTCTAATTTTACATAAATACAATAAGAAAATCATAATGTTATAATACTGCGAATATCATCATATAATTTCATATTGACCCCAATTTCAAGAAGAGATATCATTTTAATTGTTAATGAACAAGGTGGGGCAAGTAAACTAGTCCTAAATTGAACACACCATATGATGGACGGTAAAAGTTCTTAAAGACAGACCAAATAGAGGAAATCTAAGTGAAAGAAACACAAAATTCTATCTGACTATAATAATGTGCAACACTGAGAATATATTTTCTTTAAATGAAATGAGCATCTTGGAGGTCATCCACCAAAACTACACACACCACAGGGTGGTGCGTGGTCCTATGGTAATAACTCCCTGAGTATGTTATCCTGTCCTCTTTACATTTTTATAAATATTACTAGATGCTTGGCCCAGGATTGGCACAGTCAATCTGATCAACCTTTTTCAGATGTTTTTGTCGTAGAGATTATACAGCTGATCATATTTCTTAGAGTGAGCTTGTATAGCATGCAAATATCAAGTTATTATATGTACCCACCATTTATAAAGGGTTTTAAGCGGTTTTATTTTCCATATTGGATTCAATTTGAATTCACTCTTTTTGTCAAATATTTTTAATGAATATGAACATGATAAACAACATAACTAAGAAATAAACTGATCTTATGATATATATAATATAAAATCTAACAGGTTTAATATTGACAAAATGTCTTGGTTACATTTGGAAAATGGCCAGCAATATTAGTGATTATATTGTCCCATATTCTTTAAGTTGGTATCTTATTTTACTTTATTGAGTTCTACAAAGCAAGAGTTCCACATTGGTAGGTAAGTTTATACTTTGTATTGCATAGGGATGTTACTCTTTACTGACAAGAACTGCTGAATCTTCTTGTGATGCTTGAAATAATTTTTTATGTATGTTTGTTTTATTCAATGCCTCTGTACATGTCATGTAGGCTAGCAGTTGCTAGACTGTTAAACTCGGATACCAATGTGGGTGTGTGTCTTTTTAAAGAAACTTAGCTAATACATAAATCAACACATTCATCATTAAAAACTAATCACAAAGTGACAATGTATTAAAATTGCAACCTACTATAAACTAAGTCATTAGCTTACCTCAAGTTTTGCACTGTGCTGAAAAATGGTCAAGGCTTTATGAGTGAGCTGAGCAAAACAGGAACTCAATGTTGCTATTTTTTGACGAGCAGAAAACACTGCCTCCGGTTCCTCGGTCTCCAGATCCGCTGAAAATCACACGTGCTACTGATTTTATAGAATTCCTATTGATTAGTGTCAATGACCTAAGAGTAATAACTATTTCTTTACGTAACAATAAACAACGAATCAACAAAGAATACCTGGTATACCTATAGTCGCAAACTATATGAAGTCACTTTTCTACCAAGGAAACCCAGTCACTGAGAGGAATTTTTTTCGGTCACTGAAATTGAGATTGTAGGTATTTATATATAAATGTAGTTAACTTACCTAAAGAGGTATCTAATCCAACACATGCTTTATCAAATTCCTTTTCCAATAAATCTAACCACCGAAAACCAACCCCTGTTGTCGCCATTTTCACTATAAACTTGTTCAATTATTTTCAAAATTTATGTTGTTGACTGCATAACAATAATAATTAGAATCTCGAAATCGTTTATCGTACTCTGCTTTGACAGCAGTACTGCAGTCGCTTGATAATTGACATTTGACAGATAAAATTTTGAAACCAGTTTGACCAATGAACTTTTTGACAACTACAGCTAGCAGCGGTTTATATATACTGTAAATAATAAAGTTTTTATTAGTTGGCAATTATTTACTTACCCCTTCCTGACAAGGCTCGAAAGAGGCCCCGACACACACTAACGGATTCGGATGATCCAATCACTGTAGCTAACAATAAATTGAAAGACGCCCACGCGGCCAATAATAATAATAGCTAAAAATTGATTTGGGTAAAAAACCGCTTTCACCGGGGAAGGCGAGGACCTTTACTGCGTACTTCGCTCACTCCAGTGAGCTTCCGTCCTGCTCTTCAGGTGATTGTCACCCCGCGATGGCCCAAGCCGAGGTCTGAGTCTCGCAGGAGACGCCCTTGCGCTAGTCGCGGGAAAAAACGCCCATTGGGGCCGAGCTCGCCAAAGCAGCCCGAGTTGAGCTGTAAAGGCCTTTAAGGCCAACAGTGAGATTCCTTTAAAAAAAAACAATGGGTTGCACTCCGGGAGTGCCGGCAAAAGTGAAAACTTGAATATTAACGTTGTGCATTTTTGATATTTTGGAATGGTTAGGGAATCCTTTTGCACGAATTGCTTTAATTACCAGTATAAAAGTACAGCTATCATTTATGTGGTAGAATACAATATTTATTTCTTGCGCTATCGTACACAAAAAATGACAATTTATATTACATTAAATACGCCGCGCCAGCTGTCTACTCTCCATCCGTCTTACGAATTTTCGATCAGGTCACGTGTCCTGACACGAGTTTAACATTTTTTACCCATTCCAAAAAAAAGTGTACAACGCCTCTAAAGAAGATTTTATCAGGTGCTAGATTCTCTTATAATGTCACCATTAATAAATACACTCGGCGTCAAAAAAATCGCATCTTTCCTAAAATTCGAGTCAAGCGATAATAACTCCTAAGTCCTAAGATCCTTCCTGTACACTACTCTATCATTATTAGTATCATTTGAAAGCTAATGAAATTCCCTATTTGAAAACGGTAGGAAATTTGCCACCACCCCCATAAAAAAAGAAAATTCTGGGAAAATGTGAAACAATGTGTATTCTGATCGAAATTACAAAGAAAAGGAACAATACAAAAATTTAAAATCAACAATAACAATCCTTTAAAATACGTCTTAAACCCTAGTGTTGCCTCCTCTAGCCCTCCGAGCAGCTTCCAAACGGTCAGTCATGGACCTGATGAGCGTCACGAGGTTTTCCTTTGGCATGTTCTGACTTCCGGCCTATTTCTATTCTACCATTCCTATCTAATATATATAGCCTTATACACTCGCAGCTTAGCGGATTTCTGAATAAAAACTCAATTCTAGACCCTCTCCAATCGGGTTTCCGCCCGGGGCATAGCATGACTACTGCATTGGTTAAAGATTCTGACGATATTCCTCGAGGGATGGATGGTGGGCAGCTCACTGTTCTCTCTCTGCTTGACTTTAGCCAATGCTTTTAATACTGTGGACTTTGAAATTCTCCTTGGGTTGCTTCGCTCTATGAAAATCTCTCCATCCGCTATTGACTGGTTTCATAGCTATCTTAACGGTCGTCGGCAGCGTATTAAAATTAATGATACTTACTCTCAGTGGAATAATATAAGTACTGGTGTTCCGCATGGTGGCGTTCTTTCACCTCTTCTATTTTCTATCTTTATCAACTAGATATAATTGACTAATAGACTGCATATCTATCGGCTAATTATCACCTGTACGCTGATGACCTCCAAATTTACGTTCAGTCTACACTGGATGAGTGTTTAAATAATTATAGTTTTGTGTTCAACAAATAGATGTCGCCTGTGGAGTCTTGAATCGCGGTATTGTTTTGATTCAAGAATAGTATAAGTATTTCAAGGTATTATTATTAATTATCTCAGCCTTAGAAATGGTGTTTTTCTTGTTCATGGTCATTCGAGTAGGATAATGAAGAATCAAGCGACAGTGGTCAGTATACTATATAAACTGTAAGTAGAAAATTTATATTAAGCAGTAGACGAGGTGTCAAGCAAAAATAACCCTTAACCACTAGGAAGAAATGTCTTAGGAAATTAACAGTGTGAATGGACTAAGGACTTGTAAAATTTTAACCAAAATAGTGGTTATACGGGGAATCCATAACCAATTTTTCCTAAGTTAATAATAACTAAACACTTATAAAATTTCGAGTAAACTGGACTTAGAAAAATTTCACCTATACCGTTACCGTACCGTCGATTCGATTAGGTTCAACTATAAAATTAACAAATGAGAAAATAATCGATTCGATTAATTTACCGAGAATGTACATCACTTACAACCAATAGAAAACGAGAATGTCACATCTCTTATAACCAATAGAAAAGTAGAAAATGGCGGATTGTTTACAAATTTCAATACATTTCACAAAACTTTGCAAACATTTTTTTTAATACTTAGACGCATTTCCGGCAGCTAAAATCGGGTTGAAGGTGTTCTAATCAAGGTCCCCCCGAGACTCCTGCATAATCAGTATCATCAGATTCGGGTGCAGCACTCTCACATCCAACCCTTTAAGTTTTTAGTTTGTTATTAATATATATAATTCTTCTGTAAGTGTGTATGTCACTGAACTTCTCTCAAACGACTGGACCGATTTTGATGAAATTTTTTGTGTGTGTTCAAGGGGATCTGGGAATGGTTTAGATTCACAAATCAGCCCGGCAGATGGCACTGCAGTCGGTACTTTCATACTTTGCTTAATATCCTAATCGCTTTAAATATCATGCAGGACAACGTCTGTGGGGTCCACTAGTTATTAATATATATTTTTTGTATTACTTTAGATTAAGGTTCTATAATTTTTTTTAATATAACATTTGGTTCTGCACTTCTCGCATTCATCATGTTTCTTTTTTTTAGTTTTCCTCTTTAACTAGGATTGCCTGGTCCACCCCAGAACATGCAGGATCCTCCTCCATAGCCGACGGTTTACACGGTGCAGGCTGGTGTGAATCGCTCCCCGGTCGCCTGTAGACTCTCTTACGCGTGTCGTTGGTGTACGCCTTACTTGGGTTTCGTCGCATAACAGAACATTTCTCCACTGGTCGAATGCCCACGGCACGTGCGTTTCGTAAAATCGCTTCCTGGTCGTCCGGTGGTTGGCAGTCAATTGAGGGCCTGTAGCAGCACTCCGGAACAGCAAATTCTTCTCTCGCAGCCTTCTTCTGATAGTGGAGACGCTGACTGCTGTCCTTCGAGTAGCTCGGTAGCGTCGGTATATCCGTTGCACTCGAAATCGGTCTATGTTCAGTTGCCGAGCTACTCCATAGTCCGGTTTGCAGTAGGGCCTCCACTTGAGCTGCTTCTTCTGCCGTGGTATCCATTTTCACTGGGTTTTTTTCTTGTCGGAGCTCTTCAGGTGTGACCTCTGTAACGTCTGGATAGCTAATGACTCATAATTGACTTTTATTTTTTATTTATTCAGAGTCGAGACTGATCTTTTTCGTTTGAAATTATTATGCACAACCTAACCACTACATAGTATGAACCAAACTATATAATCCACAGATATTAATAAAATAAAATAACAACGTTTCTGTAATAACTGTAACTGAAAAAGTTATTGTTTGTAAACTTGTTCCTTTCTTGAGCACTTTAAGCTGTGGTCAAACAGCGGTAAGGCGTCGCGGCGTGGAAGTCACACTGCGAGAGTGATGATCCTGCTAGCGATTCGGACGTGGAAGCTTAATGCTACTCAAATCGCAGATTAATACTTGCATTTTTATATTGTTGATGGCTCAAGTCATACATAAAAATGTGGCCTCCTACGAAATCGATCGAAATACGATGAAGTTTTCCACTTTATCACCGTCTATTATTATAAAAGCTTTCCTATTAAGAAGTCACATTATGCTTCCAGGAGTATAATATACCGGCACGATATGATATTTATATTTGTGATTTAAACGCAAGACATAATTATATTGTTAGGCACATAAAATAGCTAAGGTAGTCACTCCAAGTCCATCTTGAGGTAGATGTAGCGAGCAACATAAAGTGAGTGAGTGAGAGTGGATGGCTACCACCACTCGTGCCGCCTGAACTGGCCAATATTCGTGGAGTGCCTCGACGAGGCGCCTCGCGAGTCTGGAGCCGGCTTCAAATAAGCGATTCTATTTCAATCGGAGACTAGGAGTATATAAAATGTATGTACTATAGGTACATACCTATTGTTTTAGTACTGCTAAAAACTGTAGTGTAGAACTCTTTTTATTCTTATTTAAACATAATTTAAATTTAATATGCCTACACCTTATATTTTCATATTTGGTCAACTACTAATTAGTAATGATTAGACTCTACGTACTACTACTATGTTAACGTGAAATTACGAAAAATACAAACATTCAGCCTATTCTAAAACAGGAAAGAAACTAACATTTGTCTGAGAAGAAAGAAAAATTTGCAGACATCTACATTGTAAACAATGAAAACGTTTTAATTTAACACGAGCCTATTAAGATTTGGTCAATCAGCGGACGGGGCGGGACGGTAAAGGAGCGCTGACGTGACGGCGACGCGGCGTGGATGTCACACTACGGACGTGATGATGCCACAAGCATCGCCTCGGCCGACCAGCCACACTCGACGTAAATTCTCGAGCATTTTCAAACCAGCTCTTTGAGATTTCGTCCTATTAATACCCAAATCGCTGATTTCAAACTCGCAATTTTGTATTGGGAATGGACCAAATCATACATAAAATGTGCTCGAACACTTTCGATTAGTTTTTCAACTCTCTCCATGTCCATTTTTGCTGTCGAATACAAAGTTGCCGTCACGCCGGGCGCGACGTCTGCCATCCCGCTGTCTGTTTGACTACTACAACGAATACCCATATAACACAACGTGTAGCGTCGCGCTCACGCCCTCCCGTACTTTTCTTGTATTGGTTGGTCGCGCCGAGCGCGACGGCTCTGTGTGACATGTCTGATGTCGGGTGCTATATTACAACATACAGGTACATTACAACTTCTCACGTCGCGTCGCCGTCCCGCCCCGTCCGCTGTTTGACCTAACCTTTAGAATAAAACAAAACACAACCATGCCAATGTCTTTGGTTTGTTTACGCAAAACAGACACAGCTTACCTTAAGAGGGCCATAGCCATAAAATAGATTACAATTGATTCCAATTTCACATAAGTATAAAATTTTGAACGATTTAATATACCTATGTAGCGAACAAATTATAGCTACCTTACTGTTGAAGCTTCTGTAAATTAACAAAAAGTAAAAAAAATCAGTTTATAAAAATTCTATTTAAATAATAAAGAAACAAATAAAAATTATAAACCATTTTAAGTAATATAAGCGTAATAAAATGTATCCTTAGTAATTATTACTAACTTTACAAATATAATTACAATATACCAATGTTACTTAATGCAACCTTAAGCCAAAAATGTCAGAGTCATACTTAGTATTAAATCTCAATTAAATCTTACCCTGAGTGTGTTGTTAATATTTAAAATGTAGGCATTATCAAGAGATATTGGTGCTTATTCTGGCTCCAAAGAATTGATTCCAATTTTATTTTATTTTTATTTTAAAGTACAAATAACATTAACAAAAATCTAAATGAAATATTTTTTGAAGTTATACTTCCTTAGGCGCGTTATGAAAAATTGATGAGAGTGAAATTTTACGATGCGTGCGCACCTGAGACACAAAGTTGTCAGTGTGATTATAGCGTGCGCGAGCGAGATGGGAATAAGACAATCTACAAGTAAAAAGAAATAGAATATGCGTGAAGTGAGCAGCTGTGCCAAGAATTTTGAATGAACATAATGACATTTACCTTTTAAACAAATAAAATCTTAATTATTTTTTCAAAGAAATTTAGCAATGCTTTTTCACAAAGACCTATTGTTACTTAGTTAAAAGGTTATGAAACATACGTAGTTATTAAACTGAATGAATAATATCATAAAATAATAAATAAAAATGATTATTATTATTAATTAATAATTGAATTATATACTAAATATTATTAAATTATTAACGTTAAATATTTGTTATTACTTATTTAATATATAAAAAAAATAAATAAAGCCAAAGAAGTATAACTTCTTACGCGCGTACATAAGTACACGCACCCTTTTTTTATATAGGATTTAAAAATAATCTTTGTCATCATAATTTTAATCAGTTTTGAATATGTATTCAAATACATGTTAATGTTATTGTTATTTAAATTTAAAAAATTATAATATTATTTGTTCCACAATTAACTGACATTAGATATGATGATTTTGTCATATTTGGGAGAACTTGGTCACAGCTTTTTTTTAATAAATTTGATCTTGAATCTGAACTTACTATCTACTACTTAAGAACGAATTAAATGCACAAAATCATAAGTCAATTGCATATAGCTTATCCATTCCAGCAAAGCTATGCTGCAGCTAGTGCTGTAAAAAATCGTATGGACTCTTTTATTTTTGAGTCCAATGAAATATGAGTTAAATGCTTCATTCAGTACAATGATTTTAATTTTAACAATCAAATTCTGTGCTAGCAAAAAAATCATTTTTGCTCTTATTGTGTGTGTACAAAGGCAAAGATATTCATTGACCACTTGCTATTAAGTTTAGAGTTCAGAATAAAAATCATTGCAAGTGATAGCTGCTATTTTTAATCAAAGATTAATGTATGTATTTATAACTTAGAGCTTATATTTATTTACAGTCTAAATTTTATATTAAAAGGCCTGTACATAAAATATGTTTTAAAGACAACAGGTAACACATCGGGTGTTTAGAAATTGTTTCAAACAATTCAAATTCAAAACAATTCTTAGACCCCGCGACCTTATTGCCTTTGGTACATTGAGTTCAGATTTTGGGAAATACAGTTTTTCTGATTTAACTCATTAAATTATGATAATTTTGCAATCAATACAAAAAACAATTAAAACTCTATTATGAATGTTTATCTCAAATTCTAATAATTAATGTGTTGTAAAATACCTGAAGTTTGAACTTAATCAGATACAATGGCAGGTCTAACTTAAAATTAGTGTTTATATGGTATTAATATACATTTAAATATATATTACAAACAAAAGTCATGCTGAATAACTATTTTAAATGAATTAATATAAAATTAACAAAATATGACATATGCACATGACAGCTTGAACTGCTTGTGTGCTTGCAATATAAACAATTACAAAGAAAGTAAGGTATATTCCAAACATTGCAAGATTTGTTACTTGACTTAATTAGCATTTACCAATTGTACACCTTTTACAAATTTTCTTCTATGGGATACAGCTTAAAATTATAAGTTAAATGTTTGTTTAACTGTTAAATGAACACATTGTAGCTAAACTAAACAGCTAAACTCAATTGCATTTTTATTACATCTATCACCTGGATTTGTTCACAATTACTTAAGCATTTGCTTTGCTTTATCATTAACAAATAACACAGCCACTCTTTTCTGGTATGTGACCATCTGACCTCTCTATTTCTGAGAGCATTGCATGAAACATATCCGTCACAGACTGCAATAAAATATGTGTATTTAGAATTTTTTACCTGCCTTTATACTTTTTTAAATTTATGAAAGTCTATACATTCAATTATATTTTAAGTTTCTATAAAAATGTATGTTTATTCATGTCAAATCTTGAAATATTACTCTTACAACTTACCTCATTTCTTTTTGCACTTGTTTCAACAAATGCAGCATTCCATTTTTCAGCTAACCGTTTTCCTTCTTCTGTACTAATTTTTCTTTCCAAATGTAGATCTGTTTTATTTCCAACTAGGACAATAGGGACACTGAAAATAATAATTCATTATTTATTTTATTTAGACTTTCAAATATTAAATAAAAATGTTTGCCTGTTACTTAAGTTATAACAATCTAATTACAAAATTTGACCAACTTACTGAATTTTTCCAACCATATCTAAGAGTTTGTCGTAGATTATTTGTACAATTTGAAAACTTTTACTTGAGGTTATTGAGTATACCAGAACATAACCATGAAAATCCATGCTGTACTGAAGTGGAAATATACTATATTCATCTTGACCAGCTGTGTCTACCAGTTTAACTTCATATTCAGTGGAGTTAAGTCGAATGAATTTTGTAAAAGCTAAAACGTACAATGTTATCAGAGGTAAAAAAATACAAAATGTGAACCAGGGGACGGAAGATAATGTTTTCGTTTTCAAGTAAGCTAAACGATTCTAAACTGTGTTACTAACCACACTATAAGCATGCTTTGGTTAATAATAATGCCTTAAACAAAGAAAAAAAATTACATACTATTCTCAATGGTGGGATCATAGGAATCAACGAATTGTCCTTCCACAAATTGTATAATCAGAGAGGATTTTCCTGCAAATGAATTTAATTATTTATTGTTAATTAAAATAATACGTCACAACAGAAATTACTAGGGAATAGTAAAATTAATAATCACCAACTGATCTGTAGCCCATCATAGCAATTTTCCTTTGCTTCGAAGGCATTTCACTAACTATTCACAACTTGAACACGAAAAATATTTCAATAGGATTTATTTTTCTAGACATACAAAATAAATATTAGTTATATTCTGATTTCTGAGTTCTGACAAAATCGTTTAAAATTGTATTTTACCATACGACAATTGACATTGAAAAGCGTTGACATTTGACAAATGAAAATATATATATGTATATATATATATATATATATCACTTTTAACTTTATAAATCTTTAATCATTAATATTGATTATTGCATGGATTTATATCGTTAGATAGGCCCCGACACCAAAAACTGTGGCATTGTTTTTGAATGTGTGCGTTAACAAAATGCCGACACACGCACACTAATTTTAAAAATCGTGTTTCTGCCCTTGTAATAGGTTGAAATCGAAAACGTTTGAATGTGTGCGTCAACATGGCGTCCAAAAACAGTGCAATTTGTGTAGAAGGTACGGTCCGCAAACACATTAATCTTTTTTATTATATATTTTATTTATTATATATATTTTTATTACATAGTAGGTAGACTGTATATTTAAATGTAGAGGCGTGATCAAGTAAAAAACACTATAATTTACTAATAATGGCTATTTATTCTCCTTGAAACAAAATCAATTTATTATACTTTTGCCTTTTTGTTATTTTATTAACATTTTTATGAAGATAATGAAGGCGTACACCAGCGTAGTATTTGATAACAGATTTTATCAATAGAACTTTATGGTTCCAAGTTGCCGGTTGCTCCAGAGAATGGTCATTTAAATTATTAAAAACATTCGATTCAATAAACAATTTCAATATTTTAGTTTGAAAAACTTTATACTCATTTTCATTACGTATATAATGATTGCCATTTAGTTTTTTGTGAAGTTTCAAAAGTGATTCAGTTTTGATACATATATCATATACATCCTGTGTGGGAAAAAGCAAACCACCTAAGTTTCTCAAATTAATTAATCTGTGAAAGGTTAATCGTCGATCAGATATTAACGCACTGCAACATGTATGACATTTAATTTTTTTCACAATTTTTTTAACAACCCACCCTGAAATGTATCCGACAATTTGCTTTGACAAATCGCTTATAACATTTTCTTCATCTAAAACTCTTGAGAGAATGTCACTATTTATTTCACATTGTTCATCTTCAGCAGATTGTGACGCCTTCGTCGTTGGGTCAGATTCAGTATTGCACAATCCTGACGTGGTCATATTTATTTTTTCAAGGGCTGATGAACAACCCAAAATTGAAAAGTTATCAATTGGCAAACAATTCCCCGTGAAACTGCTCCGTAGTTCTAGATGGCAGAGTGCTTTTTTATATATGCCACGGAATTGTTCGGTGGTAGGGTTATTATTGCGCCCGCCATGTTGCCTTATTAGTCCGAAAAAAAGTTCTAAGTGGTCTTGACTGAACCTGTATGTTGACATGTAATTCATCACTTTATTCTGTTGAACCAATTCTCGGTACAAGTATTTCAAACTCTGAATGTCTATTAAAAACCCAAGAAATCCCATTTTGCATTTTGCTTGCAAGACTAACTTTTTACTAATAATTATTTTTATCCTTCTTCCTCTTGTTCTTTTGACTTGGTTGTAAATTTTAAGTGACTTTATATAATTTTCTGCCTTGTCAAGAAAATTTAATGTTTTGAATTCATTTTTTTCACCAAGCGATCCTTTAAATCCTTGTTTATAGGTTGTTGAGTTAAAGACATCAAACAAATCGTTGAAAGTGTCCAGTAACCATCTCTGAGCATAAGGTCAGTGCTTTCGCTACGCTTCTACTTAGTAATTGGCTTGCTAGGTTGACTTTCATTATTTGGTTCCTGGAAGCAATATGACGTACAGTCAATTTGTTTGCGAACTTGAAGCCTTCTGTTTCTTGAAGTTTCTGTAATTTAACCAAGTACAACCATGCAACTCGTCCAGCTTCACTAAACAAAAGTTTTTTTGAGTCGAATGTATTCCTCACTAACTTGAGCATATGGCATGCATCAAAAAAAACAGCAACTCGTTTGGTATTGCACGAGGGATGAGGGAAAGTGGTTTGTAAGCTGTTGATGTTCTCAAAATTGCAACCTAGAATTTCGGCTGTTGCTACATTGGCTGCACAACCGTCAAACGTCAATGCAATGATATCGACACCAACGTCGTAACATTTAGTAATACACATTTGTATTAAGCTTGCACGTTGTTCAGCACGTAGGCCGTTTATGAAAAAGTAACCTAATGGAATTTTCCAGTTTACAGTGCTTGAAACTAGCATGAAAACGTAAGCCTGAGTCGCAACTTCATGTTTTGGTCCCAAGCCTTCATCTACAAGTCCCATCGTCTTCCGACCATTCCAGGTTGTCCTTTGACGTATTGCCATTTCGTCAACGACCAATGTCGCTGTAACTGTTTTCGTTTTAGATTTTTGATGAAGTTTTTCAAATGCCTGTTGAGTGAATCCAGGAGAGACATCACTTTTCTCGTACCACTTGGAAATAGTACGCGGATGCGGCAACGTACTGTTGAATTTGCCTCTAACGTACTTGTAGGCAGCCGGAGAATAGTAATGCAACGTTGCGTAAAATTTTCTTAGAGTTGGCGGAATTCTTTTCCTTTTTTTGGCGATTGCAAATAAAAAGTCATTGTTTGCCTCCGCAGCTTTCCCTTCTAATTCATTTAAATCTTCTTTGTTAATAATTTTTTTTATATTCAGGGACTTAACTAACTCTCGCAGGGAATTATTTTTGGTTTTAAAATACTTGTTTCTTTTTTTCAGGTTCATATTCTCTCTTCTGCATTTTTCTCTTTTGCTTTTTATAATGTGTAATTGTTTCTTTAGGCGAATTTTTCTCGGTGTATCGAAAACGGAATCTGTATCCGACACATTTATATCACATAGGGGTGAACTAGGTCTATTTTGATCAGCAGGTAAACATATTGATGATTCCGTTATTGGCCGAAAAGCTGGTATGGCATCAGGTTTTAATTTACGAAGACCCAGTGGCGTCACATACAAATGATTTGCCTCGAAATGTGCTGAGCAAACTTTGCTGAATTTTGTAGGTAGCCACTCTTCATCTCTTTTGTCCACTTGTATAATTTTTATCCATTTTTCCTTACACCGTGGGTCTTGGGGAAATCTAAAAAAAAACTTCATTTTATGTACCCATTTTTACTTATAGCTTTATGAGTAATACCATAATAAAGTATTTTATCAGTAAGTTACACGCACTCTATCTCAAAAACTGTTGAGCGCATAAAAAAATTTTCAAATAAAATTTGTCGCAAAATTTATTTGAAACAATTTTATAACAAATGTAAACATGTTTCGTGGCACCCTGTATTTAATACGCCTACCTACTAAAATATTAAGAAGACAACAACATGGCTGTTGAATCTGCTGACGCTACCGAACTGTCTAAAACGTGTGCAACAAGTGTACTGAGAAAATAGTGTCATCTCTTTTTCTCCTACATTAGTTGCAAACACTACTTTCTCTTTCGTGCACTCGCCATTTAAATTTGTTATTTTAGACAGTGCGGAAGGAAAAATAAAAGTTTTTAAATCAAATCGCAATACTTACGAGTGAAATGTTACACCTCTGGCTTTATTTGTGTTTTTAGAATTGTTGTTGCACTTTAGAAAGGCACACGATGGCATTTTGTGACACTAAACTGCTCGCAAACGTCCTTTACAACACGTCCGGCTAACACTGTGTTTAGGGGTGCACTGATCCTAGGTTAGCGAGCTATCTCACTTCGACTGTGCGACAACACGGCGCGGTCTCACTGCGGTAAGGGCATATCTAACGATATAAATCCATGGATTATTGCCTATAACAGATGCCGGCGTGGCTGTAATACAAATGACAAACTAGTGTCCGGACAATATGAAAGTCTGATTTGCTACGCGTCATTCAACATTCTCAAAAATTATATCCATGTACTTATAATTATGGCTTCATATTAATAAATAATAAGTATAAATATTATTACTGATGAACTATAATGAAGTAACGATTTTGTTGACAATAATTCGCTTTCCATACAGACTCTAACATCCCAACTTGTAGTTCCTAGTCTGTGCGGGTGCATGACGATTGACGAATGACATGATTACATCTATCATATTGTGATATGTCATTCCTCAATATTCTACACTAATGCAAAATTGCAAATTGCAATAATTTGCGTCTTAAAATATACTCGTTAAATTTCTGGATTTCTTGTGGTTCTGTTATCTGATTTATTGCAATCATTTAGTATACTAACACTTTTTGTGTCACTTTCCTGCTTCTACAACAATATTCGTAATGTCTTAGATAATATTTAATGATTTTAAACATTTTCATTTATAATTAAACTTTAGTCATTACTCATTACAAACCAACATTATTATTCTATATATTATTTTGAAGTGAACACAATGTCTTTAAATATACCGGAATGTCCACCCAGTTTGAAAAGTATACAATATTATCTTAAAACAGCATCTGAGCATGATTCCCGAGACCCTGTTGTTGCATATTGGTGTCGCCTTCATTCATTACAAGTCGGACTTAAACTGACAACAAAGAAAACACCAGATGAAACCAAGATTTTAATGAGTAAGTATTTCGTGACTATATTTAACAATTTATTACTGCATTGTCCCATGTCATATTAGTTATAATTCATATCAGATCCTATAGCAATATGGCCAAACAAATTTTATATATAATTTTACATAGACATTTAATCATAAAGTCCAGGTTTAACTAGCCCATTCATTATATACATCCATGAAATGGGTAGCCACAATGGTTTTAATTATTATGTTTTTTATTCAGCTATCATGGACTGGTTAGAAGAAGCTAAAAAGATAAACAAGGATAATGATGCAATATCAAATGAGGTGGTGGCTCAAGCACATTTGGAGAATTATGCTCTTAAGTTATTTCTTTTTGCAGACAAGCAAGACAGAGAGCGAAATTATGGAAAGTAAATTGATTATTTGTTTTTCTTTACCGTTAAATTTGTTTAATTTCCATTTCATTATTTTATGGTTGGTATCTGCTTGTTTACATCATCATCACTTTGCATTATCCCAAATTGATAGAAGACTGCTAAAATATAATGTTTAAGGCTGTTTATTTATTGCCTTATCCCCATAACTGCCTTGTTTTACAAAACAATATACATTTATATCCAGCTACGGGCAGTGTATGCAACTTGGTATAATGCTGTTACCTTATCAGAGCTTTTGTGAATGCATTGCATCTAAACCTCAAAGAGCTGGGCGTCCTTTTAGAGTGATTTTACACCTGGACAGTTTCTAGTCTTTTTTTTGCAGGAATGTGGTGAAATCTTTTTTTTTGGCGGGCATGATTTATGATGTTCTTACCACTTTTGGTGAATTGACTGATGAAGCAGCCCAAAACATGAAATATGCTAAGTGGAGAGCAGCCCACATTCACAGCTGCTTAAAAAATGGAGAGATGCCAGAGGCTGGTGTGTTGATTTATGTTTATTATATTTTATTCTCATACTAATATTGTTTACATAAAACTCATAACTTAATCTTATTCTAGCTTCACAACTATCTGAAGATAGTAACCAAAATGAAGCAGGATCAAGTGATGGTGGGCAAGCACCAACTCAAGGACCGGCAGTCCCTACGAGCTTTCCACAAGAGTTTGGATTTACTGATAGCACTCTGTCCCAACCAACTCTACCTACCACCTATAGCAACTTGTTACCAGATCCAAATGCCGCATTAAGAGCAGCATCACAACTTCCCCCAGTACCTTATACGCCTGACCCTAACCCTGGGGGTTTTGTACCATATGATCCCTCAGAACAACCACAACCGACTCCCTCTACGGCATCTTATGGAGATAATTCAATGCTAGTCGCACAGCTTAGTCCCGATCAAATTGCTAAGGCACAGAAATATTGCAAATGGGCAAGCAGTGCATTGAATTATGAAGATATTAAAACTGCAATTTCAAGTTTGAGGAATGCTCTAGAGCTCCTTCAGACTGGACATGATCCAGCTTAAAGCTATTATTGTATTGTATTCAATCAAATTATTATAAGTAATAAAGATATATAAATTCATATGTGAATATAATGCAAATTGTATATGCATTTAATAAAATTATTCTACAAAGTCTTTAGAATTCCCGCTCTTGATGTTAAATGTGTGTAAATGCCCATTGTGATTGTCGTAGTAATACAGGCTTATTATTGGGTTCAAATACTTATCATAAATAAAATTATTCATTATATATTTAGCAATATATTTTAATTTATTATTATTTAACTCAACTAATACCAATGGTGGTACATTCTTTTAGGTCTGGGCCTACAATTTCTGCATCTGTTCCATAATTATTTCTAATAGGCAAGTAGGGGATCAACCTTCAAGGTGATTTTAGGTGAGCAAGCATGCCGGTTTCCTCATGATAATTTCCTTAACGTACGAGCGAGTGTTAAATGCGCACATAGAAAGTCCATTGGTACACAGCCAGGGATAGATCCTACGACCCCAGAGAGATGAGAGTCGCACGCAACTTAACTAATGTGAAAAGAAAATACAGTAAGCTATGTTAACTAATTTTTATTGTACACGAAGCTTAAATTTAAATTCATAATGAAAATAAAATTACATGGTGGCTAATTTGTAACGACATCAGGCAGTGTTATTCTTTTTAACAACTAATAACCAGTCATGATCGTTCTTATCTACCTATTTACCACACACAGCCCCAACCGGGGATTTTTAAAACAAAGACAGTGATAAATTTTAAAATAAATAATAAAGTATGGATTCCCATTGTTAGATTGATGTGCGAATTCGAATGCATGTATTTAAAAGTGCAACACAAAGGAGCTATCGGCCACCAGAAGCTTTCTTACTTTCTCTATTATGAATTGGCTATATGTGCCATCTACACAAATATTCAGGAAATAAAACTTGTGCGTATATTAATCTCAATGTGTACTTAATACACGTGGTCATTTTTTAATAACATTTTTCTCTACTGTAGGTAAATTACAAATTATAACAATGTTTAGTACAAGTAAACAGGGGAAGAATAGAAAATGAAACTATAGAACATTCGTGAGTATATAAATGGTTTAAAATGTCCAAATGTCGTAGGCTGTTGCATTTGTATTGAGCAATCTCAGAGCGATTAGCCTACGATTATAATTAAATGACTACTAAGTCAGAAATTACACAATAACACACTCATTTCACATAAAGCTAAAGGGGATAACCTATCCGTCCCACACTGGCGTCTAGTAATTGATTAATTCAAGACGGTAAGTAGGTAATGTTACTTTCATACAAATAGCCTACTCTAGTATATTATACATCAATCACACTTAAAATAATATCACTTCTGTTCAACGAAACCTTCAAATTCTATAAAATGATGCATAATTAATGATTATGCACTACGGTACAAAACTGAAAACAAGAGACATATACCTACAAGTATCGTTACTCGGGTCATGAATTAATGTGATCAGTGAATACTTAGTAATAGTAATAATAGCTCACAAAATTAGTTTTTTTTTTCAAAATCGGTTAAAGACCGTCAGTATAATGACATTTTGTCACCAAATATTCTTATAATGACAAAGTTATTCGCTATTTATATGTTTTAATTAATTGAGTAATATTCACAAACATTTGAATACTTACGTTCAATTCTAAAAGACTTGTTTTCTTTAGCAAGTTAGGATCGCCAGAAAAACATTTTAAATTAAAGTGACTAGACCAAAATCACAGTGCGTTTAATCATATAAACACCAAAAAAGACGAACACTGAAGTAACATTAATAAATTCGTATTCGACAACCTACTCGTTCCCTTATCTGGACCAAGGGTGCGACAAACGGAACTGAAAAGGAATCGCTCAGTAGACCGATGGATAAAACGCAACAAAAAATTAAATGTATTCGACCACAAAATAATATCAATCTCTCTTAAGACCGTTGCCGTTTTGTGTCGCTGCTAACTTCTCCAGCATCTCTCGGCGATGGGTCTGATACCTGAAAACACAATTGTAATTCAACATTATTGATACCACCGCTTCGGGAAGTGGGTTCTACCGATCAGAATCGCTACTGTACTATTTCGAAGCGGAACTAAAGAAATGCGATGATCTTATTACGTCGAAGAGAAACATGCAAATAGAAACAGAGTCTTATGTGTTGTTTACGTTCCGATGTTGTCTTCTCGCGAGACTTGGCCTCGTCGCCGACGCCCAGCCGTTTTCATTAACTCAAATAACTCATGATATGCTATTCGTTATACGCGACAACACACAGAATAATTACTTTAATAAATAGAATTGGCTGCTTTTACATAAATCGGTGGTGATAATCTTGCAATTTAACAATTTTTTTTCATCTAAGCGAATCTCTAGATTCTTGTTGAAGTTCCAATGTCTATTGTAATACCTATAAGATGCAAGTTTAACAACCGTTAACAAATCAGTTGTGAACTAATCTAATTTGATCATAGATGTATCGCGATTAAAGAAAGCTATAATTCTAAAGACAGGCGATTTCTCATTCCGAATTATCTGGACGCTTGCCAGAAGCCGCTGCCGAAGTGATGGGACTAATTTTATTTACTAACTCATGTTTATATCATCTAAAAATTGGTCAAGGTGCAACTTTATCATTTTACACACACGCTACTATTGACGCACATATTATTAATAGACCGTCGACGATGTTCACTTTTCGGGTATCTCGGCAGTCAGCAGTGCATAGAACCAAGTGTAAACAACAAATAACCCGAGAAACTAAGAGCTCCAACTTACCAAACGACCAGTCTCCCGCAAAGCATGAAGAAGAAGACGATGGTGGGTGCGGATCGGTCGAAGGGGTCGCTGATGGCCACGTGCGAGTACGTCGCCAGCACCATCAGTAGAATTAGACCAATGTTTGCCGCGTTTTTTATCCTCTCTGAAAGGGTCGAAACGGAAACTATCAATTCGTGAGCAAGAAGCTTTTACTTATAGACATTAATTATAAATGTTTTACAATCATTGAAACCTTACATTCTGTACAATAAAATAAAATATCTGAATAATTCTGAAAAACTTACGATGTGGTATAAGAGCGAGAATTATTCCAAAAAGTATTTCACATCCCCCGATAGTCCGTCGGTACCATTTGGACGGAACTTTAAAATCCAGCATCTCACTCAACGGAAACACTTTCGCATATCTAACGTACTCCTTTCGCTGCAAACAGTGTGAAGAATATGACAGAGTTTTAAAATATTTTTGATTCTACTCATTATCCTATCGGCCCAGACTATAATCAGAAAAATTAGCAATAACTTGCGACTCGCGGCTTACGTGAGATTACAAATATCAATATTCAAAACGCTCTGTCACCAGACAGATCCAGAATTTCGTGTTATTAGGCGGCAAGCCAAATACCGAAATAGCAAAGAACATCGCGTCGCAACAAAAATGTAATGCAACAACCTTTGCATATTTCTTCAATTTAATCTGAAATTAATATAAGTATACTAACCAATTCCTTGTGCAATTCCTTTGAAATAAATGGAGAAATCTTGGTAATACCCATAAATATAAAGAACAATCCCAGAAGAATAGATAAACTTTTTAACACAATCGACCCCATTTTAAATAAATAACACTGTACAATATTATTGTTAAATAGATTTAATCGATTCACCGATGAATACTACACAACCTGATTTAAATGTTCAATATGCGTATAAGAATTTGTTAAGAGTTTCCGAGGAAATTATATATATCTCTCGATAGTCACTTTTTAATTATTTAAACAAGTTATTGAAACGTTAGATATTTGCTGTAATTATGCATTAATTTAACGACACAACGCAAGTATAGTCTGAAGAAGTGAAATGAATTCCCATTTCCAACTTGCGAGATCCAGTGGGTTACGACGCGCGCCGGCGCGAAATAATCGATAACATTTGGCGCGACTTATTTTTTCACATTATCGAGGCACGCTGAGGTCTTTGGTCTACCCAAACCATAGATTCGTTACATAAAATGGATACTGTTGCCCAGGGTTTTTATTGCACACAGATTTATTTACCTGTTTGCAAATGGTACGCGTGTTTATTTTAATGGAACGGGGTGCAGGCGGTAGACTCACGTGATGTTAAGTGATCACGCCCATGGACACTCTCAATTCCTGATGGCTCGCGAGTGCGTTGCCGGTCTTTTAAGAATTGGTACTCTCTTTTCTTGGAGGACTCTAAGTCGTATTGAAGTACCGTCTCACCTTGCTGCACACCAAACTCCTTGAAGGCTAATGTAGCATTCCCTTCCAAACTACCGGTTGTTTCACTCTAAGATGAACCCATCTGTGAGAGTTCATTTGGCTAAAGTCCAAAGGCAACAGCATAGCACTACCACTAGGAAAGGAGTTACCTGAAAGAGGTTATTTTAACAGTGGGTGTCGTCACCGTTGAATCGCGTTGCCTAGTTAAAGATAAAAAATCATAATGTCGTTTTCACTTGCATTTTCGGTACGAAGTACTCGTATATAATATGTACTTGTAAAGACTAACTTTCCCTTCATAGCTTTTAAAGTAAGACAAATTCTTCGATGTAATGTTGCATGTAGGAATTACCGGGTAATTTACACCGATGTGATAGAAAGTAAAGTGATCGGATTTTCTATAGTATTATAGAATAGTTTATGATGTTTTAAGCTTCCTTAACTTTTAAAAGTCTTTCATCTACCCTGACGGGGGGTATTGTAAGTATTGTAAGGCAAGAGAGGTTTCCTAGAGTTTAGTTTGGGGTAGTTTCCTCTACGGTGGCAGGCCGAATTGGGGGCATGTTTGGGATAACACGCTCAGGTTCAGTATTCTGCTTCGACGTCCGATAATGAAACTCAGCTGCAGGTATTAATCCAAACAACTCCTCTGAACACTCTCCATGGTAAATGCGGTAGAAGATGCAGAGTGACCTCACATCTCTACGCAACGCCAAAGGATCAAGCCGCTCGGAGAGGGATTGGTCGTCGACGATTCAAACCACTCTTTGTTGAATACGGTTAAGTGGAAGGAGCTGGTACTGGGGAGCCCCGCCCAGAGGTGAGAACAGTACTCCATGTTGGGCCGAATTTGCGCTTTATATAAAGTTAAGTAAAAAATCATTTAATCATGTAGGTAACATAATGTACCTACACTTATGACTCGTCAGAAAAGAAATACATATTAATGTTTCTAATTTTACATTTACTGCCAGTTCTCAAATCAAGGGCGTAGAACGGAAGAGAAGAACTCTCCCCCACTCTTTTTAATCGACTTTTTTTTACGCAACGTTTGTAAAGAGCTGCATCCATTACACCATGTTCCACATGACATATCAAGTAATTAATAATAATATCATAAATTAAAAAAAAAACTAAGACATTTCTTCTATCAGCAGGAGGCATGGTGAAATAGGAGCACGCACTTACATTCTCGTGGGAACAACACGCAAACACATAGTCGAAATAAGCAACATCACCGCATACACGAATTCAAGTACGACCAGTCACCACAAGCAGCACCCGTTCACGAGCATGACGCATGGCCAGCCATCGGCCCCCTCGCCATATTTTAGGGAGAGAGACAACCATGGAACGCATGGACGTCGCCACAAGCAATGACATTTAAGCGAGCATGACGATCCTTGAAATGCAAACTTGGCTACATAAGAAAATAATAATAATAATACTATACTGAAAAAATTTGATAACTTACATTAAAACAGTTGTGGATGTTGACGATCGTCCCATTGCTATAGTTGCAAGCGGTGGCCCGGAGTGAAGTACCGTCTCGCCTTGCTGAGCACACCAAGCTTTTGCGGTGACAACGTCTTATAATTCGACTAGCGACCCGCCCCGGCTTCGCACGGATGCAATGCTGATACTAAATTCAAAGTGTTATAGAGTATAGGGAGAACCGCGGCCTCCGACGCGCTGCGTCCCGCAATTTTTAAATTTGTAATATCTTCGAAAATATTCATTTAAATCATATGCTGTAAAGGGCCATATATATCTATATTAAATCAACAATGTATTTAAGGTATTTAATTGGATAAGGATTTATGCTGTATTGGTTAAAATAGCTTCGAAAATTAGCCATTATTTGTCGTAAAAAGTAAATGACAAAAAAGATATGGGATATCCATACTTTTATGTTTTCTTAGCGGAGAATGCACAAACTTGTGTATTCTTGGGGTTAAATTGGACTAGATTTAGCCTGACCCAGTCTGAGACTCCACGTAGCAAAGTTTCGACTTCAGACATAAGTTTGTTACGGTACTCATCGACCACTGCCCGAGAAATACCTGCCCGGCCAGTGTAAACTGTATCCCCAGTACTGTCATCCGCATAGCAATGAATGTTGCTAAGTTGCAACATATCATTGGTATACAGAAGAAACAGGGTCGGGGATAGAACACAGCCTTGTTGGACCCCAGCGTTCACGGGTTTAAGGATGCAACATGCTCCGTCGATGACGATCTTGAGGCTCCGATCGGCCAGAAAGCTGGAGATCCAATCGCATAATTTCTCGGGAAGCCCATAGGCTGGATTTTTGCGCAAAATTTTCATGTAATTTTTTATGTTTTTTAACTCTTAACTAGTTATTTTATCCCTTACATTAGGACAAACTCTTGTGCTATATAATTTCAATTAATTAAATTTTAATTTTTTTAATTAAAAATTACCGACAAAAATTGACTATATTTTATGGCATTTTATTATCGGACAATCCGGCGCTCGTTATTAATTATTCTTATGTAAAGATAGTGTTTTTCTTGAGGAAAAATAGTTAACGGCAACACTGGTTGTTAACAGCATCACAGACCGAGGCGACCTCTATACCGACGCCAAGTCTTGAGTTGGATCAATTCACAGCCCGCCATAATCTTTTAGTATTCGACACTGTTTGCTGTAAACAAATATTTGGTGAGTAAAAATGAATTACTTTTATAAATAGTAAAATAATTTTTTTGGACCCCAATCTAAATAAAAATATATAAATAATATAGTACAGTGTTTAACGTTTGTGTGTTTCTCATAATACTTGTTATTATCAAGAGGCAGTCAGCCTCCATTTAAATTGACGCTTGTTCATATTACTTTAGCTTTCGTGGGCCTATATGTTTCAATGGAAATTTTTTCTAGTTTTGAATTCTTGTATATTGAGAATTGTTGTTATGTACGAAGAGATATTTATTTTATTTGTTCATAAACCTGGACATTTCCACTAAATATATAACGAGAAGCTTAGCGTCGGTGCCGTATTGTTCATTAATTGTTTGTAATAGAAAAACTGTACATATACCTTAGCATGAATCAAATTAAAACCATTTCAAGATTTCTGTTTTCTTGATGTTAAAAAATTTGTGTATACTGTAGTCATATAATTCTAAAAGTTATGTTTAAACTTAAATTAGGTATGTGTCATTGCCCGGCTTTAGTAATAACTAATAATGCGTCCGGTAACTGTCTTGTATACAGTGGTTAACCCAATGCGATATTAAATGTTTCCCTGAATAACTTGTTGCAGTTGATTGCAAATACCACTAAATAAAAATGTCTGACGATGGATCAACTGCAGTTGAGAAGAAAGGAAGAGGTCGGCCTAAAGCAAATGGAACACAAGCTGTATGTATTATACTATCATTATTTACTTATATTGTATAAAAAAATTTTTTTTTGATAATTTTTTATGTTTTAAGGAAGCAAAAGGAGATTTAAAGAAAAGAGGAAGACCAGCTGCTCCTGCAAAAGTAAAAGAGTCTAAAAATTCTTCAGATGAAGAACAGGCACCAGTAGCCAAAAGAGGTCGAGGAAGACCTAAAGGATCTAAAAAAAAGGCAGCTGCACCTAAAGCCAAGGTGTCTTGAAAATCTAGTTTGATAAGTTTTAGCTTAAATATTAATTTATGATTTTCTAATCTCTTTATAATTATGCATTCCAGTCTTCATCAGGAGAAGGAAGAGCGAGAGGGCGACCACGTAAAGATGCAGCTCCCCCTAAGAAAGATACTGCATCATCTGAAGAGGAACAGGATGATGAAGAAGAAGAAGAAGGCTCTGACGAGTAAAGCATTTAGAGTCTAATGTCACTCATTTTAGTGTAATTTGTTTGTCATGGATAACTCACTCTGCCTGGATAACAATTTCATGAATATTTACATTGCAGATAATGTCAGCAAGTCATTTGGATAAATCTAAGGGGTTATCTAGACAGTACAAAAATCTCAGCTAAATCTCAATTTAATTCATGTGAAATTGTATATTTTATAAAATATAAAGAGTTACAGACTTTCTTTTTTAAGTATTTTGACCATAGCATTTAATGAAAATTAAGGGCAATTTTACATGAATCGAGTTAGATCCAGCTCTCCTTAGAACGTACAAGTTTAAGATTTATTTGTAAGATCATTTTTTAGATTTATTCTTATTAATAATATATTAGGTATTTGTAATCTCTTCATTTGTAATGTAAGAAAAAATACATTTTGTAGATTTACTGATTTGACCCGAATGTCGAGTATTATTTTCTATAATAAATATTTTCTTTCTAAATAAATGTTTATTGTACCTGTAAATGTAACTAGCTCCTTTTTGTTTAAATTTAACTCAAATACATATGCTGTGTCCATTTTGAGAAAAGAAGTTTAAATTTACATTTTCATATAATAATGGTCTATACTGGTAAAAAAAAAGTTAAGGCAATCATAAGAGATTTAAGATTAGGTTATGCTAATATGCATCTATAAAAAAACATTTGGCCTGCGACTGTTATAATTGATTATTTTTTTAAAGTCGGTCATAACTTATCTGTCCTCAATTTAAGGCACACTAGCTTAGAGTATTAAGCCAGAAAGGAGACGCCATCACTCGAACGATGCTAATTATTTTTTCTGCCAAAACATCGGCGGGGGACGAGGCACTCACACAGACAAAATTTTACTACAGAAACAAATTGCACAATGTTTGTACACACGCACACAAACCTAATTTGCTTACACAAGAGTAACCGCAACGCACACATTTAAAGAAATCGTATCTTTACACGTTACATGTACAGCACACATACGCAACAATCCCGACATAATTAGAGCTACCACCATGTCGATAAGGAATGTCGATAAAATTTATTTATTCAATCATTCAGTTGTTCATTCTATTCTGCAATAGCAGAAATATTCTAAAAAAAAATTTTTTCACACATGCGGTGGCAAATTGTGAACTAATGGCGCCACAAGCGACTGTACCCAAACTCTATGAATTGGTCAGTTTCAGTGTGTATAAGGATAAGTAGTGTCAAGTTCTTGCGTGACTCAAGCTAATAACGGACTTTGGTTTGGGTACCGTCCCTCATGGCTTCATTAACTTTCACTAAGGTGAAGTAGTGCATCAAGAAGGACACTAGCGCTCCATGTTTTTATTTATTTTATTTAAACAAACAACTGAATGTACATTGGACTTTTCTTTCTTCTTCTTTTCTTTCTGTTTTCTGTTTTTGCGACAGTTGCACCTTAGGAGAGTATGTTAGCGATGATTTCTAAAGTGTTTATAGCATTTCTAAAATATTTTAGAGAAAATTTGCAATACATTACTATACGGCTAATATTTAGAAGAAGTTATGCGCTGGTCTCCTCCATGACGCTCCATCCTAAATGTAATAAAATAGGCAATTAAAACAACGTACTTAAGAAAAAATATTTATTACAAAGAGGTTTAAAAAGTACAACAGGGGGTTTCTAAACACATTGTCAATCAAAGTATTTATTTATATGAAAACATCATGTAACTGTATAATCATTTGACATTAAAAAAAATATTTTTATTGCTACTACTTTTTTAAATAGCGTAATTGAAATCCCATGATGATTTTGAATTTAAAAATTTGAAACGACATAAGAAAACACAATTTTATTTTATACTAGGTACTAGTTTCATGTATGAAATAATAAGAACACTATTATTACTTACAAAATAGCGGATTTTGATAAGTTTTATTTAAATCTGCAAATCCAGCAAAACTTTTTATTGATTTTTGAAGTGAATGAGTTTTGTGAATATATGACGGATACATTTATTTTTGATCCTTTTTCTTACCCCTTGGCCACAGTCACCTGCGGCGCGGTTTGCGGCGCGCAAAGCGGCGCGCAAAGCGGCGAGCGGCAAAAACAAATTGAGAAAATTGTATGAAGTATGCCACAGCTATCGGCGACGCGCATTGCGGTGCGACCTGCGGCGCGGTGGCACCCGCGCGGTGGCGGCGGCGGGGGTCTGCGCGGCGTGCGAGTGAATCAAATGCACTCAAGAGTATCGAGGCGGCCACAGCTAAGAGCGGCGCGCGCCGCGGCATTGGTGGACGCATTTAGCATCGCGCGACCAAAACAAATAATTTTGTTTTTATCGCGCATTGAGCTCATATAAAATAATGGATACAAAACAATTTATTAGTGAAATACTGAGTAGACCAGCAATATGGATGTCAAAACATCCACATCATAAATATAGGCATGTTATAAAAAAAATTGTGGGACGACTAATAAAACTAACTAATATACTCTAAATATTGGCGCCGCGGTCGCAACTGGTCGAGCTGTGGCATACCACCGCAAACCGCGCCTCTCGCAGACCCTCTTGCCGCGCCGCGCTCCACACCGCCAGAAACTGTGGCCAAGCTCTTAGAAAGGTAAGTGATTCTCGTGTTTACATATTTTTCCATAACAACCTTTGCCAGTTCTATGTTATGCGTCACATAATCGTTGTCAAAATAATGTTCCTCAATAGAATGAAAGAGTGTTTTCCCTACAAGTTTTTTTAAAGTTTGAATAACAATTCGTTTAGTGTTGTATTTAGGATCAACTTTTTTATCCGACGTAAGTGTGGCTCTAATCTCGAATTCACAAAAGCGACATAAGGATATTACCTCTTCTGAGGAATACATTAAGCCACCTCTACTTTTTTGATAAATCAAGCTTTCTTTACACTGCACGCCTAAAAGAGCCTTGACGCAGATACTGCATTTGATTTTTTTAATGATAGAAAAAACCACGAAGCCCGCTATGTATTTCACTACTTCCTCGCCGAAAGGAGATAAGTATGTGTAGCTATCTATATCTGTACGTATCTGTTCCTCTGTGATGGAAAATTGTTTATCTGCCTCTAAATTAATACAGAATGACAAAGATGTGTCGTTGATTTTTTTTATCCATGAAGAACAATCTAAAATTGATATTTTTTCTAAAGGAATACAATTTGTACCTCGTTCATTTCGGTTTAGCTCTGTGTGTACCAATAGTTTCTTATATATTGCTTCGAGTTGTCGCGCTGTGGGATTATCATTATACCCGCCATGGCTACGAACATTGGAAAAAAAAATTCTATATGATCTTGGCTGATCTTATGTAAGGGCAGATACGTAAGTATTGTGCCTTGGTCTAACACTAAACTTTTGAACAACTTATTTGCACTTTCAATGCACACGCAAAAACCTAAAAAACCTGTGTGTCTTGGAGATTTTAATATATTTACTTTTTTTAATGTGTTACCCCTAGGAATAACCACAGATAAGTTAGTTATGACAGCTTTTGCTTCATCTAATCGGTCAAATGCCTTTTGATAGTTTTTTGAGTTTAATGCCTGTTTGTACGCATTGGACCAAGTTTTTGAATCGAGGACATCAAATATATCGTTCATTAAAATTAAAAATTCAGCGGTTGGAGTTACTTCTTTGAAAGAAGGCATCTTCATAATGTCAGCACAAAAAATCAATGCGTCAGCTACGCTCTGACTGAAAAGTTGGGCAGCCAATGAGACATTCATTATTTTTGACTTAAAATAAATATGGTTCGCTTTTAATTTGTTGGCTAAATAAAACATTTCTTCCTCTTGTAGTTGGTGCAACTTTGTGATATATGACCATTCTATTTTTTTTTCATGGCCAGATCGATAAGTTAAAAAATATTCGTAAAACTCAAACGCATTTCTAACCAGTTTCAACATATGACACGGATCTAGAAAAAAGAAAATCTCTTGTCCAGTATGAGGATCTAATATTTTAGTCTGTAAATTTAGTGGATCAAGACAGCAGCCCAATTCTTCAGCCATGGCAAGGTTACATTTTGTGCCGTCACATGTCAACGCCTTAATTTCAACACCAGTTTCATGAACGAGCTGGAACGCTATTGTGACAAGTCGAGCTTTTAAGTTAGCAGTCATACCTTTTATTAAAAAGTACCCAATAGGTACTTTCCATGTGGTATTGATGCCCACCAATAGAAACACTAGAGCATCAGTGGCTTTATCGGAATTGTCCGATATAAAATCAAATCCGTAGTCTACGTATCCGTAATGCCTTTGGGTACTAGAATTGTATTCGGTAAATTCTTTTATTTTCATTTCATCCATTATCAAAGAGCAATAGATTTTTTTGCCAGTATGAAAAATGAAAAATGAAAAAATATTTATTCAATCACTTACAATGGTAACAACATGTGGCTGGAGCCTCCATTTAAGTATGTATAATATACTTGTGTTTGGAGTATCCGCTCTTCCTAGGTACACTTAATTAGGTATGTAAGTTTAGACAAAAGTATTACTGTCAACTCTCAATCTCAGTGCATTTAGTGCCTCTTTTGTGAAGCCTGGACGACCGTTAATAGTACTGTACCATTTTGACAATGTACGCGGCGCTGGTAAACAGGTTCCGAATGTTTTTCTTACATAACGGTAGGCTTTAGGTGAATAATAATTTAATGTAAGTGCAAAACATCTTAATTCAGGAGAATACTTAACTCTGGGTAATTTTCCAGTTTTGCTTTTTATAATTTGCCTTTTTATTAGTTCGGTCTCTTCCACGCCTATGGCTTCCAAAATTCTTCTATTTTCTTTATCTATTAAAGATTTTTTGGTTAACTCATCAAGTATTTCTTTTAAACTAGCAACTTTCTTTTTTAAATATCGTGTTTTCGACTGAAGTCTTTTAATTTGTTTGTTTTTTTGAACTATTATTCTTCTTAATTTACGTATTCTTGGTGTTTCTTGGTCCAATTTATAACAAGAAACATTAGTACTTGTAGTA